AAATGAATAAAATAAAATAAAATAATATTATGTTGCTTTTTAAAAAAAAATCCTATTAAAAAAACTGTACATTGCAAGGGACGCAAACACAACAAATATTAAAAACAGTCTAACGGTCTAGCGAAGATAAGGGATTAACTCCCTTATACAACAGACCGCTAGCTTTTTCGTTTCCCCCCTCGTCCTGTTCCTGCTTTTCACACAGTCGCACTTCATCGCTCTCATCTTTACGTCTACTTACTTTTAATTGTTGCAATTTTTTAATTTTTTTTTATTTGAAAAAAAAAATGTTTCATAAAAAAATAGAAATCATTGCTTTGTAATAAAGAGAAAAAAAACAGCTAGTGGAATAACTCTGTACTGACTGATATTCCAGAAAATAAAATGTGCTATTTCCCTTAGATCATTCGTGCCTTTCAAATCGTGCAGTGAAGTTTTTTTCAAGTCGACCAACGTCCAGATCCTTTTCCATTTCCACTTTCAGGCCAATATCCTTTCTTTTTTCCATATTTCATTCAAGGAGATTTTTAAGTTAAGGAGTAACTTTTCTGTTTATTATCGCTTGTTCCCGCATCGGATCCGGACATTGGGGATTGCCTTGCTAGTGAGACAACTTCCTGGGCCTTCGGAATCTTGTGGTAGGGTGGCCAGTTCCTTTCTTCGCCGCCTTTACTTCCCCAACTCAAGTCCTGTACCCATTACTGCTGGGTGGGCAGGAGGGGGCGAAAAAAATCCGTATCCAAGCCGGGACTCGAACCCGGTCTTTCCGCTCCAGACAGTATAACAGCGAAAGCACAAGAAGAGACAGGGTGTGAAACGAAGTTGTCACAGATCAGGTTGATCTAACTCCCTGCATTTCACTTGTCTACACATATCGCGACATTTTAGTTGATCACATTTTATCAAGGACTATATCATTAAAGAATTATAGACGTTTATTTTTGTTTTGTCTAGGTAAATGTTTTACGGCGGTTGCAACTGCATAAGGTTATATTATTATGAGCGCACATATGACCTTATGCAGTTGCGGGCGCCGTAAAACTTACTAAACTAAAAACACTTTCAGTTTGGTAGGAATTTTGATTTTTGCCGTTTGACGGCCCAAGCATACTCTTAACGATATTAGGACCACGATGGATTTTTGTACGAGGCCTCCGAGAGTTTTGCCCTTATCCGAGAAGGCAAGGTGTTAGATTTTCCCTACCATAAGATCAGGGGTGTGGCTGAAAGACAGCAGTAAGAAGGAGCCAAAGAGTAGTAGTAGGCCTACACGAAAGAGTCAAGAGCCTAGAGGAGGGGGCAAAAAGGAGGGAAGAAGGGGCAGACAGTGAAGACGAAAGCAGACGACAGAATGTGGTTAGAGAGTAGGAAAGCAAGTGAAAGAAGTTTAGGAGAAGAACATTTTCTCGTCGCTGTCAGGTTTCGAAACCGGGACCTAAAATTGAATGAGAGGCGAACAGCGTAACATATAGACAACGAGAGCCCCCTGACCTTCATTTAATAAAAAAAATTCCATCAGCTACCTTTAAAAAAAAAACAATAAAAAAAAGAAAACAGAACCAAACAGCTTGTTCGTTTCTTTCGTGATGTTTTAATTAAAGACTTTTATAATTTTGGGTTGTCTTTTTTTTTAAGGGAAAAAAGTGCAAGAGTTAAAAGGGGATTTAAATGGAAACTTAATAGAGACAAAAACAAGACAGAGATGGACTAGTTCTCTCTCTCTCTCTCTTTCTATCTCTCTCTCTCTCTCTCTCTCTCTCTCTCTCTCTCTCTCTCTCTCTCTCTGTGTCTCTTTCTATCTCTCTCCATCCCTTTCTCTTTCACTCTAAATGTACGTATTTGTGTGTGTGAGTGTGTGTGTGCGTGTATGGATGTGTATGTATACAAGCTTAATTTTTCTGCAGAAACATGAAGCAACCTATGATTACAAATCTTTACCCTTGTCTATTCACTCCTACTTTATCGTTCCTTTTTTAGTTGTTGAATTGTTTCTAATCTTTGGCTCTTATAATGATTTATAGCCTATTTGTGTTTAAAGTGGCGTAGAACCCTTGCTAAATCTAAAACTAAATTGAATATGGCTTCAGTATTCATAGAAAATTTATCAACACATTTTCCTTCTCCTTCTCCTCCTCTTTCTCATTTCGTCCCCTCCCACTCTCCTCCTCCGTATCCCCCTCCTGCTAGTCTTCCTCCTCTTCTTACACCCCTCCTTCTCCACCACCCCCTCAACCTCCTCCTCCTCCTCTTACACCCCTCCTTCTCCACCACCCCCTCAACCTCCTCCTCTTACACCCCTCCTTCTCCACCACCACCCC